AGGCTTGGGAACAGTTTCTTTACGTTAAATAACCACCTTCTGCCATCAGGACTCCTTTTTCATACGTGTGTCCTCGGAATTATTTCAGTGCACAGGCGCCTCCCTGAGAGCTCTGTTTATGTACATTTGGGGGCGTGGCTGCTTCTTTTGTGATGTTTTGCACAGGTGTTTTCAGCAAGGCACCCAGTATATGATAAGAGAGAAGCAGTTCTTCTAAGAGCTGCTTCCATCTCTTTCCTTTGTTTCTGTTTTAGTGTCCTAAGTCCCATAGATGGGAAGTCCATGGAGTCTATAACAAGTGTGAAGATATTCCATGGATCAGAGTATAAAGCGAATGGAAAGGTCATCAGATGGACCGAGGTAAGGAAATAGAAACTTGGCATCCTTGACCCCCTCCTTTGAAGACCTTTTTACTTGGCCCAGAGATATTCTGGACTGATTCTGGAGGATGAGGGGGAAAAAAATCTCTGTTACCTTCTATACTCCAGTTCCCTCTGGTCTCTCTTAGCTCACTGGAAGGAAATGCACTAAGTGTGGCCTGCAGCAGTCTGACATCTCCGCCCCATGAACTAGCTTTTAGAGATTTGTTCACACTGGACCTCAAGAAGGGTGCATCTCTGAAGGGTACATTCTGTCTTTGCTGCATTCTTCAGAAAGCTAGGCTGGTTATGCTGCACTCAGTTATAACTTAGATAACACTGTCTTTTAAAAATAGACTTATCTCACAAATAAGAAAACTAAAGCTCAGAAACTAACTTGTCCAGGATTACATGGCAAATAAGCACTGGTAAAGTCCTGATTCAAACCCAGATGTGGCCGACTCCTAACCTGTTTTCTACTATATTGTTTCTTAGAGCTGTATTAGAGGCTTACCCGGGGGTGAGAGGAGCCAGGCAGGGACCCTGTATATGTGTATGTGTGTGCGTGCATGCTAATTTGTTTCAATTGTGTCTGATTCTTTGCAACCCTTTGGACTGTAGCCCACTAGGCCCCTCTGTTAGTGAAATTCTCCAGAATCTCACGTGAGATTATCCAAGAATACTGGAGTGGGTTGCCATGCCCTCCTCCAGGGTATCTTCCCAACCCAGGGATCGAACCTATGTCTCCTATGTCTCCTGCATTGGCAGACAGGTTCTTTACCACTAGCGCCATCTGGGAAGCACATCAAACAAATCAGAAAGTTTATTTCTTGAGAATAAACAGGTAGGTCCTGGATCTCTTGATTTCTTTTGAAACTCATTTATACCTGTCTATAAAAATCAAGTATTAAATGATAAGATCTCTAGGATTTCTGGAAGCTTTAAAAGTCTTTAAGAAGTTCTGTGACTTCTGCCTTTTCCATTTTACACACAAGGTAACTGAGCCAAGGGAGGATAGGTGCCTAGTAACCCAAGTTTACTAGCTGGTTCCTGACAACACAGAGGCTAGAAGTTTTTGAGCTGTTGTTCCAAGTGACATATTTCTTACCAGACTTGGTAATTTTATATGCAGCTGAGTGGTTTTATCTGCTTGCTTTGTAATGATCATCTGTTTGACATATCTTGAGTAGTTGAGGGTCTGAAACATGTGAATGTCTTTACTGCTTACAGAGTAGTTTGACCTCTGCTACCTCTTTTTTGCTCCTCGCTGATCCCCTGAGATAAGGAGATGAGGAATGAGAAATTACATAATGAGAAAACAGTCTCAGAGAGGCCAGGTGACTCTGTGACTTGTCTAATGCTGGTTGCTGGCAGAGCAGGGACCAGAGTCTCCTGACTTCCACTTGAGAGTTCCGTCTATCACTTCACACTGCCATTTTCACTAATGCATTGGGCACCAGGCTTCAGAGCGACCCCTTTGCAGATTCTTAATATAAGCCACTGCTTGAGTCATAAGCCACGTGTTGGTATAGAGAAGCATTCTATATTTACATGTCTGTATCTTTTATGTTTTGCTTTCTAAAAAATTTTAAATGTATTTTTTATTTGAAGGATAATTGCTTTACAGAATTGTGTTGGTTTCTGCCAAACATCAACATGAATCAGCCTATGTTTTGCTTTTATATCATTTATACGATAACCAGAGAAGGTAGGTGCTTCCCGTTTTACAGAGGCAAATCGGCATTAAGAAGCCAGAGGACTTGCTCACGACCCTCCTGTGTGTGATAGGACTCAGGTCTCAGTTCCAGATCTGCTGTGCTTCCGCCTGCGCCCAGCGCGGTGCTCGGCTCACAATGACACAGCTTTGGCCTCAGCAGTGGCACAGCCACGTGGTAGGAAGAGCTCTGTCTGTGCTGAGAGGCAAAGACGCAGACTCTCACCTGGGCTCTGAGTGAGTCCCCTCTTCTATGAGTGAGCAGTAATATGCAGGTGTTGGGTGATGTGATCTATAAGGACTGTTCTCTTAGATTCTAAGATCATTTCCTTTAGAAAGTTGCAATGTGTCCTTTTAGAAGTACACATTGCAAAATGCAAGCCTTTCCCAGTTCTGAACAGAATGTACCATTATGACTGCGGCCATGGCTTTTAGGGAGATCAGTAAGTGGTAGCTACCATCCTGTGGATGCATACACTGTGAGAGGCAGAGGCTGTTACTTAGATGTGAGATGTCAGTGCCCTGCTTTTCTTGGTGTTCTGTGTCTGGTCTTCCTGCACGTCTCAGGGAGTCAGGGTACTCATATTCGTGAGCTGGTGCACTCACTTCCTCCCACATCTCCTGGACACAAGCTTAAAAGTCTCTTTTGTTTGGGGAACAGGTGTTTTTCCTAGAAAATGATGACCAGCACAATTGCCTGAGTGATCCTGCAGATCACAGCCGGCTAACCGAGCATGTTGCCAAGGCTTTTTGTCTTGCTCTGTGTCCCCACCTGAAGCTTCTGAAAGAAGATGGAATGACAAAACTGGGACTTCGTGTGACACTTGACTCAGATCAGGTAAGAATCTCAGCCTTTGAAGCAGGTCTTGGGCAGTATCTTTTTTCTGACACGAGTTTTCTTCCTGCAACCCAGAGAGTACGAGTCTCTGCACTTGGGCCTGACCGGATGTAGTCTTTGGCCTTCCCTCTGTTGGTAAGACAGCTGGATGTGCTGCTTGGTCAGCCTCTGAACCATGTGAACTCTGGCTTCCTCACCTGAATGTCTTGCCTTGTCTTTCTTTGTAGTGTGGGATAAGAAGTGTCAGGACCTGCCACCCCTATGTGAATGACACAGGGGCCACCCTGCCTCCTTTAGAGAGCAGGTTCCAGGCTGTCCCGTCCCCTGTTGTTTTCTTAGTCCAACCACAGCAGGCTTCTGCTGACTGGTCTCTGCAGTTCCACTTCTTGTGTTTCTCTTAGCGCCAACATTGCCGTGCTAGTTCATGGATGTGACTTGAACCATTTCTGCATTAGTGTCCCTGTCAGCGCGGTGTCTTGTGGCCGGGCTTTCCTCCCCGTCTTACTCATTAACCTTTTTGTGTGCTCTGAGTAGTCACAATCCAGTCTGAGTGCAACCTGCCCTCTCTTCCTTGTCCCAGTGTCTCTCATACGGCCTAGCACTCTAATCTCTCTACGTTTCCTTTGGATTTTATTTTTTATTATTTTGGGGCAGCATGTGGGATCTTAGTTCTCTTACCAGGGATCAACCTGGGGTTCTCTGCATTTGGAGTGCAGATTTGTAACCACTGGACAGCCAGGGAAGTCACTCTTTTGGATTTTAGATCCCTGTGACATGTCCCAGTGCTCCTGCTTTGATGCAGTTGTGTCATTATCAGGGAAAATGTGAAAGGTCATATGTTTAGCTCCATTTCTTGACTAGTCATCAATCAACAGATAGTTGTTTTCTACTTATGGTCTTGCCCGATGCTTTACTAAGCATGTCAGGGTAATACAAATGAGTATTACAACCCTTTTCCAAATGGTACTGATAATCTGACTAGAGAGAGAATTACTTCACATAAAATAAGAACAATCATTTTTTTCTACTAAATATGTGGGGCTCTTGAGGGCAGGAGCCCTGTTTACATTCATGCTTGAATTCTTGTGTTTGTAGGTGTTTAAAAAATGGTATGTGGAGAAATGGATGGAAGGACAGGTGTTCAGTTCCTGTTGAGTTAGGGAGTTTACCCAGTATATTTCTCATTTTAACTTCCACAACCAAAGGTTTATGTACTATTGCTGACATTCCACACCTCTCTGTGCCCCAACTTCCCTTCCTGGGAAACTGAGACCATAACAGGTTTTCTTGCCCAAGGTCTCACAGCTATGAGGTGGTAGGGGCAGGATGAATATATGGTAGGATGGTAAGTGACAGTTCTAAGGAAGAGAAGTTTGTGTTTACTGCCAGTGTCTAGCCCCTAGCCAAAAAGGACATCTCCTTTCCTGTTCATCCTCTTGGCCCTCCAGGCCTCTGGAGAGATCTTCTCTGTCCAGTAACCTGTCATCCCCTTCTTTCCACGGTGTAGGTTGGCTATCAAGCAGGGAGCAATGGCCAGCCCCTTCCCTCGCAGTACATGAACGATCTGGACAGCGCTCTGGTGCCAGTGATCCATGGAGGGGCCTGCCAGCTCAGCGAGGGCCCCATCGTCATGGAACTCATCTTTTATATTCTGGAAAACATCGCGTAGACAGAGAGGACTTCACTGTTTTCTGTTCAGACCTGTTGCAACAGCAGTCATACCCAAATCATTTGCACTTTAGAACTGGAAAATTAAGCTTTTGTTAACACTATTAATGGGGGGTGGGGTGGGAGTGGGGGTTTGGGGGACAGGGGTGGGAAGGGGTGGTGGAGGGACAGATGTTCCATAATTCTAAGTCTTCTATGCATTGTCCACCAAGAGGATCTGGGCAGCTTCTGTTACTGCACAACAGTTATGCTATCCTTGCAGCTAATCCCCTTCTGTTACTGTTTAGACAAGAATTCTGCTCCTCTGTTCTAAGACTTACTTTTGGTCTTGTGCTCAGAAATGCTCAAATGGGTACAGCCATCACCAAGGGTGGGTGGGAGGGCAGAAGGGAAATAAAAAAATGAAGCATCAGTCTTGAACTCTCTATACAGAATTGATGTAAAACGGACAGTTTCACACTGATCTTGTCCCAGATACATTACAGCGACCTCACAAAGTCACATTTAGGTATTTTTTCCCCTAGATTATTCATGAAGTGAATCAAAGAACCAAAGGATTCTCTCTCTTCTATCCAAAGAAGGGCGACTCAGTATAAATGAGGTCACTTGAATAGTAAAGCCAAGTTCAGGTTCTTTCAAGACCTGCCAGACTGAATGACAGACACTGAACTGGACCTTTCTGTGAAAGCTGATAGATTATACCCAAGACGTTTCTTGTTATAATATACACTAGAAGCATTTTATTTATTTTTGGCGTCACCACATGGCTTACAGGATCTTAAGTTTCCTGACCAGGAATTGAATCCTGTGGCTCTGGCAGTGCAAGTGCCAGGTCCTTCCTAACCACTGGACCACCAGGGAGCTCTCTACATTGAAGGTATTGTTAAAAATATTTTATTGAGAAATAATTTAAACTTCCAGGAAAGTGGCAAGTTAAAAAAACAATCTATGTATGCTTTACCCAGATCCACCTGTTATTTACAGATTAACTTGTTTGCTTTATCATCAGTGTTCCTTTCTCTCCTTTTCTCTCCATAAAAAACTGAGGCATTGAGAAGTACATACATTGCATACATCAAAGTCCTTCACCCCTAAGTACGTTAATGCTTACTTCCTACAAATAAGGGTGTCCTCTCACATCACCGTAGGACAGGCTCCACTTCAGTTTGACACTTTAACCCAGCGTCCTTCCCATCCAGTGAAGCTTCCAGCCTAGATCAGAACATGGTAAGTTTCTGTCATGACTCACTTTTATTTTTTATGTCATTGATATTTTTGCTGAATATAGGTTCTTCCAACTCATTTAACAGAGAATGCCCCATTTTTAATTTGGTTGTTATTTCCTCAGAATTACATGAATTATGCATTCTTGGCCAGAATCCTACCCAAGTGATGGTGTGTCCTCCTTGGGACATCACATCATGGGTCACTTAGATGTATGTCCTTCTGCCCCTCATTGATGATAAATTTTTACCCGGTCAAGGTGTTGTCTGGTTTCTCCACTGGGTATTTCCCCTCTTAGAACAAATAACTGGTTTGTGTAGACACTCTGTGATCATGTGGAGATCTTACTCATTGAAATGTCCCCTTAGATTTAGCACTCTGATGTTTCTTGCCTGAGTTGATCTTTTACTATGATGGCTTCAAGATTTTTCAATTCCAGCGCTTCCTGTTTATCAGTTGCACTTGATTTACCTATAAGCAAACACCCTTCTTTATATATATATATATATATATATACATATACACACACACACACACACACACATATACATATATAAAAGTTTAATGCTGGTAAAGAATCCTCCTGCAATGCAGGAGACCTGGGTTTGATCCCTGGGTTGGGAAGATCCCCTGGAGAAGGAAATGCTACCCACTCCAGTATTCTTGCGTGGAGAATTCCATGGACTTCAGTCCATGGGGTTGCAAAGAGTCAGACATGACTGAGCGACTCTCACTTCACTTTTAATGCCCATCGTGTGTGTGTGTGTGTGTGTGCATGTGCACGTGTGTGGTGTGTGTGGGTGTGTTTGGTGTGTGTGTGTGTGTGTGTGAGGGTGTGTGTGTGCATGTGCGTGTGTGTGGGTGTGTGTGAGGGTGTGTGTGTGCATGCGGTGTGTTTGTGTGGCTGGGGGAGTGCTGCACTACACAGTATGTGGGATCTTAGTTCCCCAACCAGGGATTGAAATCACATCTCCTACATTGGAAGTATGGAGTCTTAACCCTTGGACTGCCAAGAAAGTTCCCAAAGCCCTTCTTTCTTATTTACTCATTTAATTAACTTTCATTCTGGACTTGGGATTACTCTTTGAATGGTTCTAATTCATTATTTACGTGAGCTCCCACATCCTTGTGACATGCTCCTGTTTCTTAACACTTCCTTTTCTGGCCTAACAAGATGCCCCAGTGCCATCTTGTGCTTACCCTGCCCCAGCCTTGGAATCAGTTGGGTGTTTTTTTTTGGAGAAGTGGTATTAGAAGGCAAGACTCGGTTTTACCTGTGACATATGTGATGCATGCTGATCATTTTCTCCTTAATGAAAAATTTATTTTAGTCAGACCAAATAGATTTCACAACCCACGGTTTGAAAAACATTGCTCTAGGGCAGCTCACTTCCTCGTCACTGGCATCTTCTAAAACCCCAGACCAAGTAGGAGGCTGGTCCCTCTGCAGTGAAAGGACAGTTCCAAAAATCCCCCAGAAGGTAGTGCAGGCCCAAGACAGCGAGAGGCTGCTCCCCGGCGGCTGGAGCTAGGCCTAGTACTTGGCATTACAGGCTGCGGAGCTCCCTTCAGGTTAGTAGCTGTTTTCTGAGGCCCAAAGGTGTCTGTTGTTTTTGTTTAGTCACTCAGGTCTGTCCGACTCTCGTGACCCCATAGACTAACTCCTCTATCCATGGGATTCTCCAGGCCAGAATACTGGAGGAGTGCCATGCCCCCCTCCAGGGAATCTTCCTGATCCAGGGACTGAACTGCGCTGGGTTCTTCACTGCTGAGCCCCTGGGGAAGCCCAGGGTTTATCCCCCTTCTGTTGGGCCGGAGGGGAGAATCCACAGCTACACCTGCTGCTTCGGGGCTTCGCTGACCGAGGCTGCAGAGGGCTGGGGCTGTAGCCTTCCCCACAGGCTGGGAGCTTCCCACGGAAACGGGTGCCCACTCAACACCAGCTTGTGAGGACCAAGCCCTGGGCTGTCACCCCCTAAACCTGACGGGCACAGGATGCACTTGTTAACAGGGGTAGTAGGAACTTGGGGTCCAACATCCAGCTTGGTCTACATTGGAGCTTCTACAGGAGCTGGCTCTCTTGGTTCTGTACTATAGGAATTACCTTTCTTCCTTCTCAGCTGAACAGACCTTGCAGTTGTACACGTTTCTTACAGATCAGTGCAAACCTTTCTAAGAACAGACTCTGTCCTTGCAGAGTCGGGTCCATTCTCAACTGCATAAAATGTCCTTTATATTTAATGAAATCATCTTGTGGAATTGGACATAAGATAGCCAAGGCTAGTTTACTGTTTTCCCTTGTTTCACTTTTGTCTTTATATACTGTATGCTGTATAGAACTGGAAACATCATGTTTCTAAATAAATAAGGCAGATTCTTCTATAATGTAAACTCAGATTGAGATATAGAGATCCTATAATGAGGAATAGAACTGCCATTCTGGTATTACCACATTTTAAAAAAATTACCAAATTCTCACCAAATGCTAGGCAGTGTAGTTTCTCCAGTTTTTTAAAATCAACATGTATCTGAGCACCTACTGGACTCTTGTTGGTCAGTTGCTCAGTCATGTCTGACTCTGCAATGCCAAGAACTGCAGCATGCCAAGCTCCCTTGTCCTCCAGTATCTCCTGGAATTTGCTCAAATTCATGTCCGTTGAGTCAGTGACACTGTTAAACTATCTGCTCCTATCACCACCTTCTCCTCCTGCCCTCAATCTTTCCCAGCATTGGGGTCTTTTCCAATGAGTTGGCTCTTCACATCAGGTGGCCAAAGTATTGGAGCTTCAGCTTCAGCATCAGTCCTTCCAGTAAATATTCAAAGTTCATTTCCTTTATGATTGACTGGTTTCTAGGGCTGTAGATAAATTGAACTTTGCCCTGTTTAAGTTCCCATCTAGTGTCTTCCCTCACCTACACTGGTTCCTGAATGCTGGTAAGCCCAGAATTTCCAACTAAATTTTCTTCTATCATAACTAGTCACTTGGGGAATAATCTATGCATTTAATGCACTTCAGACAATAAGAAATCTGCTGAACACCGTTTCTAGCAAAAGTCTGTGATAGTTGTTTGTTTTAATAATAATGCTGAAATAATTTTAGTAATGACGGTAACGGGACTTGGAGGACTATAATGTAGCCAGAAGGGAGAAGGAGCATAAGAGGAATGAGAATGTCCATTTTAGAGTTTGGGAAGCTGAGGCTGAGAAGGGAAGAATCCATCTGTGATGGAACTGAACCAGGTGCAAGCTTCCTGGCGTTGCCTTCTGCCAGTCTCAGCCCCAGAGTTTCATATTCAAAGCAGCTGCCTTAACTTAAGGGATAAATGAGTGTTTAAAAACTGCCCACAAATATTTGTAAAACAAGCACTCAGAAACTGGGAAGCAACAATGTAGGTTTCAGAACAGAACCGTGAGAAAGGAACGTAATAAAATGCATACTAGTCTGCCCTTTAATTGTGAGCAAGACTTCCTGATTCTAAGATAAATTCCTTCCATATTGTATTCAGAAGAAAGTATGTCCTATACAATTGAAAAGAAATTTTAAAATTTAAAAATGATTTGGGTCGTGGCTGGTTCCCAAGTGCCCACAAGTCACTAATCTGCACTGCTGAATTGCTGTATTTGGATAAATCTTAGCACAAGATGAGGCTGGGCAGGCTCCTCCCATGCCAGTGACCCCTGCATGCCTGGGCTACAACAAAGACCTTTTAAGAACCTTAGTTTCTAAGTCCAGTGGGCGGCTTTGCCTTGCCTCTCTCAGCCTGGAGGTTCTGGTTTTCAAAAAGCAAAGGGCAGTAAAGCAGAATGAAATTGAACAGGTTATGATGGGAAATCGTTGAACCACAGAAAAAAACTTGCTATCCAATTTCTAGCAGAGGACTGAGTTTAGACATTCCTAGTACTAGTCGGAAACGTCAAGCCTTCTTAGCACTTACAAACCCTAAGGGAAGACGAGGTTGAGTCTTCTGGTTCCCGCTCTGCTCTGGGCCACCTTATGAGGGCTGACAGCCCTCCTTTTCATTCTAGATGGCTGCTTGTATGACACACAGATACGACTGCATTTAAGTGTTAAGTCTCACATCTATGGAATTTTTAGTAAGTTAAGATTAGCCTTCTAGCTAGACTAGCTTTCTAGCTCTCAGAAGTTATCTGTTGTCCCTGTTGTTACACTATAAGCTCTGCTCTTAAGGGCAGGGAAGTGTGGTCCAGCTGCATCCCAGAAAAAGACGCACACACAAAAGCTCAATCCCAAACTTCTGTGTTTGCAGGACTATAATCATCAGTAAGTTGAATGTATCTGCTTCATGTAGAGCCTTAAAATATTATCTTCAGGAATGCTTTGTTAAACAGTATTTCAAAGAAAGGGGGGAAAAGATGGGGTGTTAAAGTTTATTTTTAAGAGATGTAGACTACTGCAGTTTTGAACATTAAGTCTACTGCAAATATTGATGTAAATCCCTCCATGATCTGCATCTGTTCACAAAAATCAAAGAATTTCTTAGGAAGAAATTTAGGGATTTCCCTAGGTGATTGGATGAAGAGGCAAGGCTTCTCCTGACCTGTCTCTGAAGAGGAAGCCATAACTGCAGTTTCTGTCAATTAACAAATGTTACTGCCACTCTGGCTTTTAAAAAGTGATGGGGTGGGGGTGGTGGGGGGCAGTGACAGGGAGGAGCAGGGCTTTTGTTTAAGACTTTGATGGTTATTTTGTGAGACCGTAAATCCCCAACAATGAATTAGACCTAGTTTCTTAAATAAAATCAGTTACATTCTACATATTTATATATATATAAATTTTTTTTCTTTCTTCCTCAGTTAACAGTCTCAGTCTCAGGTACATGGACCTAACTCAAGATAACCTGCTCTCACTTCCCATCACACAGTCCTGAACAAAATCCCACTGAGAGCGTTGGGAAGCAGGGAGGCTACGGCAGCAGCTGTCAGGAGACAAGGCACAGGCGGGGCTGGGGTCAACTGAGTTGCGGGGGACAGGCGGCTGCTGACCAACTGGAGTCACAGAACCCTGACCTGCCCTATGGGGAAGGGGGTCCGGATCACACTCGCGCTTTCCCATCCCTTACAGTTTTATCTTTTAAAGGCACGTCTAGAAATGGTGCAAATGGGGGCTGGGGCAGGTTGCAAACAGTTGATTCACAGGGGTTAAGGGGTTGGTTACAAGGCTCCATGGCAGAGCAGTGAGGCTGTCCTTGCCCTGCCCGGACAGAGAGGGAGGGGGAAACCCTGGAATCCAGCCTGTTTTGGTGGAGGCCTGGGGAGAGGCCAGCAACGGGAAAGACCAGAGCCGTGGTCAGTAATGCACGTGCTTAACAGGTCTTTGGTACTTGTTTAGCAGCATCTCCTTTATGTACAAAGACTTCTGTAGCCAGCGAAGCCCAGGGGAAAAAGCTGGAGAAGAGTCGCCGGCCTGACTCCACTCTAGCGTTGACCCTCTGTTGCACACGGGCACAGAGCACAGAAGTCTAAACTGCATGAGTATCCAAGTAGGTTTCAGGAAGGGTTTCCTGACAACAACCTGGGAGAGTTAGCTTCCTTCCCCAGTTCTACTGAATATCGTGAACCAGCCTGAGCCCAACCCAACAGTTTTGCCTCTTGGTCTTCCTCACAGATGAGAAATTCCTCGGTTTTCTCCTTAGATATGAGCTGAGTACCGGAAGGGTTCCCATGGGGCCCAGGCAGACGTTCCAAGGGCCCAGAGAGCTGCCCACCTCACAGGCCCCTGGGCTCCAGGACCAGCCAGTTCTCGGTGACCATCTGCACGTCTTGGCCACTCAGAGGCTCCCGCAGCCTCACCTTCACCTCCAGCTTGCCCCCAGTGGGCTTCCTTCCATCCAGGACCTGTGAGGACCGCGGAGAGGGAGATGGTAACTGAGAGGTGGGGCGGGGACCGGCAGCTCCCTGTGTCACAAGGTGAGAAAGAAGCTAAAGTATCCTGCATGTCAATAGAAGAGTCTCCATTTCCAGACAACTCCAACCTCCCGCTGTTTGGGTTCGGTGGTTTTAGGTACGTCTCAGAAAATACATCAATCCAAATAAGCGCCAGTGCTCTGAAATGGAGGTGGGAAGTCTAGAGCCGTGCTTCCTCAGTTTGCCCCACAGTCCCCACGGTAACTCCTAGAAGAAATGCTCTGGCTTTAAGGCACAGCCTGAAAACCACTGAGCCCAAACCCTCGGTTCACAGATGGCATGAGGGACACAGTCACACGGTTCACTGTGCAACAAGGTCAGGATATGCCTGCCTTTTCGCCCACCGTGTGCTTCCTCCTGTGCCGGAGACAAGGCAGCTGGCTCTAAAGTCTGACCCACCTCACTGGGGCTGATACAAAGCAGGGCTACAGGCTCTGAAGTCTGACCCACCTCACTGGGGCTGACACAAAGCAGGCCCCCCTTAAGAACAACTCTCCCAAGCAGGCAGAGGCAATGTAACAGGAAAAGCCTCCGTCTGTGAAGGCACCAGCCGAGGTCTGGGCCCGGCTCTGCCAGAGCCCCTTCTCTGTGGATCTCAGTTGCTGTCATCAGGGGCACATCCCTGTGAAATTCAGTGAGTTCAGGGCAGCTTAAGGAGTTGTCTGGGGTGATTCCTAAGCAGACTAGCTGCGTTCTGGTAGGTCCCTCCTTGGAAATACCTTATGAACTTTATGTCCAGAGTTTGTCCTACTTCATCGTGTTGCCACAACTGCCTCAATCAAAGCCTGCTCCCAGATACCTAGGAATTCATGGGTGCCACATGGACAGCCATGATCAGGCCCCTCAAGGGAACATGAACAGCTGAGTGTTGTGGAAAGAGTATAGCTACTTCCTTTCTGACACAATGAAATTTTCTCAGACCCTCTGTATTTCATCATTTGTGAAATGGGAATAGCACATACTCTACAGCACACTTAAGGATATTTTAAAATTAACAAGCACCAAAAAACCTACAACAGGGATTCAGTGAATGTTGGCCCTTTTCTGGCCATGTCCTCCAGTTTTCCCACCTTACCTCCACAATCTCTCTGATTTCACACTCATTCTCCAGCCGCTCCAGTTTCAGGTGGGCTGTGCCAACCAGCTTGTCACTTCTGAAGAAGGATCTGGAAAGCCAAGAGTCAGCAGAAGACTGGACTGGGCAAGGACAGCAGAAATGAGCTGGCTAAAACCAGCACAAGAAAACTGAATAGTAGCAGGGGCAGCGGCAGCAACAGAAGCCAATCCTTCCTCCCAGCCCACCTTGGCAGTGTGACCGATGGGCCCTCACCCTTTGTGGAAGATTTCAAACTTGATTCCTTTGTTTTGAATCACTCTCCTGAAGCCCCGGTGGTTTCGGTTGATATTTAGTTTGAAGAGTTGATCAAATTCTGCAAGAGGGGGAGAAGGAGGGACTTGGCTTGCAGGAGATCTCCTGACCAAGTGGAAACTGGCCCACTTGCCTCCACTGTCTTTCTGCCTGCAATTCAGAGTCGCTGCCACCAGAGGGAGGAAGAGCATCCAAATCCTGGCTTTGAAGTTCACCTGTTAGACGCAGATCGGCAAAATGGGAATGGCCTGGAATGTGGAGTCAGGATTCCAGGACTCAAGTCCCATTTCCACCACCTCCGCTTTAAGGCCCTATGCAAATCCCTTTTCCTCTCTGAGCTTCAGCTTCCCCAACTACATTGGAGACGTGGTAGTCATACCTGCCTTTATCTCCCAAGGTAAGCAGACCAAGTAAGATAATAGATCTGCAAGTACTCTGGAAACACAAGTGCTGCAGAGGTTATCAGAGGGTGAGGGGGAGGAGGAAGCAGCCCGCATGTAGGTCCTCACCTGGAGAGTTTGTGTTTTTCACCACAGCTGTTTTGTTTTTTTGAGCCTGGTCCTAAAGCAGTGAGAAGAGAGAAGTCAGGACAGCTTGAAAAAAAACAGATACAGGTCCAGGAGCTCTGGTCTACATCAGTGCTGAGGGAAGGGACCCCGAGAGGGAATGAGACTGAGGGATGGGGAGAAAAAGAGCACAGGGCCTTGGAAGGGAAGATGGAGTTCACAGGACCCTCCTGCTTATTGGAACCTCACCGAATTAGGGTAGTGGAACTCAAACCGCACAAAAGCATCCAAGTCGTCAGGGGTCACCCCTAGGAAGGAGGAGGACGAGTCAGGGTCATGGGCAGTAGCCAGGAGCCCCAGCACTTGACGCAGAGGGAGAGCCACTGCCTCCTCCTGGCCAGGACTGGAGCATCTGGACAAGAGTAGGGGTGGCCCCAGGGCTACCTGGAGGGGCTGGGAGGTTCATTCCCCGGACAACAATCAGATGCATTTCTGTGCTGTTGAGTTCTGCAAAGATCCTAGAGCCAGGAAGCAAGGAAAGCAAAGTGAAGGAGAGCAGTGGGAAAAGGTTCCCTTTTCCAATGCCTGCCTATCTAGCTGGGTGGCGACCAAGAGGAGAGTGGGCCCAGGGAGGCAAAACTTGCCTGAGCAGCAGAGCTGGAGTGAAGGCCTCTTGGTCTGTGACCCTAGTACAGGGCTTCTGCCCCAGCGACCACACAGCTCTGAGCCCCTCCTCACAAGCAGGCACCACATCCTGCCCCTCTCCAGCCCCAGGGCCTATGTCAGGGCCAAGCCCGAGCAGCCTCACTCAAGGGACCTAAGTCTCCACCCCTGGCTCCCAGCCTGTTGCCCAGTCCTGCATGGAGCCACAGTCTCCCTTAGGCTTTGGCACCTCACAGTCTGGAATGTTTTCAACTCAAAGTGGTGGCTAGGAGGGTCGAGGCCTTGAGCCTGGGCCAGCTGCAGGATCTCAAGCTGCTTCTTGCGGTCTTGAGCAAGCTTCTCAAACCTGACAGGAAAAGGTGTGCACATCAGCACGGCAGTGCTCATTTCCTGCTCCCTACCCCACAAGCTGTAGCCCCAGCCTCCTGCACTTACCGGGTGGTCTCAGCCACATTGCCCTGGTGCATGAACTGCTTGGAGAACAGCAGACACTTCTGAAAATGGGGGTTCAGAGTGACTCCGTGGTCCAGAACAGGACCCAGCTAAGTTGGCCTTCAAGGCCTGACTTCTGAAAGCGCCAACCTTCTGTAGCCTCACCCCTCTCCTTCTCCAACATAATAACCCAAGGTCACTGTTCCCAAGTCCCACTGCACTAAGTTTTTGCTGTTTCCTCTACTGGGGATAGCCATTCCCCCAGATTCCCTTAGCAAATTCCTTTTCTTCCTCATCACTTTAGCAACCAGACTTGCAGGCAGCCATTCAGATAGACACACCATCAGATAGACATACATACACTCCTCAAACACTTCTTTCTCCCATCTTCAAAGTAATTCCCCCTGCATTCTGTTGTTTGAACTTCATAGCCCTGCAAGAGGGGTATTAATCATCCTATTTTACAGATAAGGAAAATGTGGTTTAGAGAAGAGAAATTCCTTACCCAAGATCTCACAGCCAGTAAGCTGAAGAGCTAGAATCTGAACCCTATCTTGCCTCTCGCCAAGGGGAGGCTATGGGCACTGGAAGGGGAGGCTATGGGCACTGGAAGGGGAGGACTGACCTCATGTTGCTCCAGAAGCATTTTCTGTAGCTGGGCATACACCTCCTCAGCCTTCTGAGAGAGTCGCAGGTCCTCATGGTGGATCAGGATGAAGTCACCCTCCTCATCCGTTAAGGGTGAAGGTACCTGTCCAGGTCACAAGGCCCCTCAGGGGCCCTCAAGAGTCAAATTATTCCTCTACTGAGCCAAACAGACCAGAAATCTAAGCTAAATGTTTCTCCAGCTTCCAGTAACCTCAATGATGGGAACTCACTGCCTGCCATCCTGTCCCAGTGCTATGCTCTGTCACTGGCCTTGCCCGACCTGGTCACCTCTCACCACAGGCAGGCCCCCGGGCTCTCTTGGGGTCATGGGACAGGGAGACACACAAGCAAAAGAGTTCTCAGCTGTCACCACATCCTATTCAAATCCCATCTCCTCTAAGCAACCTTGTTCACAGTCCTGCTCATCAGGACTGCCACCCACCTCTCTGCCCGAGAAGTCATGCTGCTTAACCAGGCAACACTCACCTTGGAGAGGTCCACGGGGCGGCCAGCTCGCACCTGGGTGATCTGAGCCTCGAGGGATTTGGCCACCCGCAGATGGGCTTTGGCCTGCTCCAGGTCCCGGCCACGCTTGGCCTGCAGGGCTGCCCGCTGGTACTGCAGTTTCCGTGCCTCCAGCAGGGTCAGCTGCTCTCGTGCTGGAGTGGGGGACACAGGTGAAGCCATGCCACCTCTCACCACAGCCTCCCCTCCCTCCCTCTTCTCTGCAGCTCACCAGATGGACTCAGCACCTCCTTAGAACTCGAGGCCTTGGGCTCAGGCAGGGGCCGCGATGAAGGGATGACAGGCTGTGCTGGCTTCTTGGCCACTGGGGCCTGGGCTGGGGGCTCATCCTGCAGGCGCCCAGGAGGCTGTCACAGGGGTTCTGTGACACGGCAGTTCCCTGACTGGGACTCTCTTCATAACACTGTACTCACTCACTGTGTGACCTGAGAGGAATGGCTTTCCCTCATGGACCCTAAAGAATCTCAGAACCAGTCTCAAAAGTTCTCTGTGCTAACCTCCCAACGTGAGAGAGTAGGGGGAAGGGGATTGAACTGGGCTCTGAAGTCAGAAAGACCGTGGTCTGAATCCAGCTCTGTTAATTCCTAGCTGGGTGCCCTAGTCCAAGTTTTTTTCTCTATTAAAAAAAAAGCAAAAATATCTACCTTGCTGAGCTTGTTAGTATGGACACCAATGGCTGGCTTTACCCCTTATCGGCTATTTCCCCCTACCAGTCCCTGGAGTCTTGGGCCCTCAGCCAAACCTTGTCCTCATCCTCCTCTTCCTCTACTGGGGCTGTATCCTCTGAGGAGGCCAGTTTCTGGGCAGTTGCTAAAGTAGCTGTCATCATATCCTCCTCAGTAGCCACGGTGGGCTCCAGGCCAGGTATAGGGGGGAATCCTGCAGGAGAAAGACACTGGGAGAGGGTTCAGGGAGCCTTGAGGATGCATCAGGCTGCTGTGGGTCCTGTTAGGGTCTTCTTGGGCATGGCTGGGATGGGTTCCCCCAGGGTGGAGGCTGATGTGTGAGAAATCATTTCTCCCTCCCCTCCATCCTGCTCAGAGGCCTCATGAGCCCCCAGGCCAAACCCCACTCACCTGGAGGAACAGGCAACTCGGCAAAGTCAACCTTCCGCCCTGCCTGGTGGGCCCGAATGGCATCTTGATATTGCTGCAAGAGGAGGGAGGGAGGGACCTATGGTGGGCAGCGGTCACAGGCTCCACTTAGGCAGAGGCAGAAAGAGGAAGATGAAGACAGCAGCCCCAGGAGGAAGGAGAGCCCCTGAGACAGCAAGAGCTCCAGAGACACAGACAAGATGAAGACTCAAAGACCAGGGAGCAGACAGACAGCTGGTCCAAGAGGGAGGCTGTAGCCCACCTTGGCAATGCGCTCATGCATCCGGGCCTTGCGCTCATCCCCACTGCCCCGAGCGTGGGTGCCTGCCTCGCGGTACTTGTTCAGCCTCTGCTGCAGGGCATCCAGCACTGTCTGTGGCTCAGCAGGGGCCACTTGAAAGGAGAAAGGAGACAGCATCAGCTCTGCCTGCCTCCCCGCAGGTCCCCACTCCATAGTGTCCCCAGTCCTACCCGGGGCTGCTGGGATGTCAGAGGCCATCACTGGGTGCATTCGCTCCACTGCCAGGGGTGAATCTGAGGGCGCTGTGGGGGCCTGGGAAGCCTGTGGAAGGGGCTTCAGGTCTGGGGAATCCAGAGCAGAGGTGTAGGTATGGGTAGGGGTGCTTGGCCAGCCCTGGCCCTAGCCTGAGCAGGCTCCCCCCACCACCCTGATACTGACCCTCCGGTGCCGGGGGCATGGCACTCAGGTCCACAGGCTGCCCCTTCTCCAGGGCCTCCAGGACAGCACCAAATCTCTGCAGTAGGAACAAGGTGGGAACATAAGCCAGGGAACCCCAAGAATCTGGGCTGAAACCCCCCCGCAGACCAGTCTCACTGAAACTCGGCCAGGTCATCGCTCACATCTGTGAAATGAGGGGCTAGACACAGCGCCTCTGAAGTAGATGCCATACCTTCCCAACCCTCATGAGTTCTCGGGCACGGTCTAGGTCTCCAGCCCGCTTGGCATTCAGAGCAGCCACTTTGTACTCTCTCTGTCGGGCCAACAGCAGGGCCCGTGGGTCTGGGTCTGAGTCGGGTGGGGCAGAAATACCAGGGCTGCCCAAGAGGCTTGTCTCAGGCTGGGAGGGGTTGTCTATGGAGAAACAAGAGAAAGTATCAAGGTCAAAGAAGGTTTCCAGTGCCTCCAGGTCTGGCTAGCCTGAAAACATCTTAGGGAAGTTGTGACTGACACGGCCACTGACATGGCCACAGACAACGGCAGGATGGGGAGGCAGGCCCCGGGCCCTGACCTTGGGAACTAGGACGGGATCTGACTATCTCCAGATACCTGGCTCCACAGAGGGGGCAGCTGGAGGTTCTGCTTCAGGGCTCCTATCGGTTGTTTCCTGGGGGGCCAAGGGCCTCCTGCCCAAGGCCACTGGAGGCGGGATCTCATCCTCACTGATCTTCCTGCCTTTCTTCACAGCAGCCAGCTGGGACTCCAGTGTCTGAGAGGGAAAAGAACCAGAAACCTAGCCAGCCACCACAGACTGCAGCCTGCCCAAAGACAGGCCAGGGGTCCTTCACCTCCACATTCTGGTGGGAAAGCTTCCCCTCTACTGGACCAAGCTCCTCTGGTGCTTCACCCTCTGCCTTCACTGCCCTCAGCCTCACTCCTCCCAGCCCTGGTGCCCAGCCAAGCCCAACGCACCTTCAGGCCGCGCTCACAGCGCCTGGCTTTGGCCGCTTCGCCTGCCTCCTTAGCACTGGCTGCAGCCTCCCGGTAGTTGCGGATCCGATCCTCCAGCAGGGCCTGCAGCCCCTGGGGCCCTCCAGCCTGTGGATACTTCAGTTCAGGGCCTGGCCACTCCAGGGCTACCTAGGCCCCTGCCACTCCCTCCTTGCAAGGAAGCTACCCCAGAACACGAAGCTCCTGGATTCAAGGAGAAGGAGGGTCTAAAAGCCTCAAGGTGGGAAACAAAGACTCAATGGAGAGGCCAGAGGCCATGTCAGAGGCAAACACAGAGGCAGAGACAATCTGTGGAGGCCGGGAAATGGCTGTGGGGGGCGGTATGGGAGAACAGAGAGGCCTTTGAGGCCGGCAGCCACCAAGGAGTTTCTCGTGCTCAGTCTCGGCTTGGGCAGCTGCTGGAGAAGGGCCCTGGAAAGGGTCATTACTGCAGCATTCCTAGACAAGCTGTGCTCCACGAGTGTCCTACACGGGCACGCAGGCACGAAGGACACAGCCAAAGGCACACTGGAGACTCCAGAACCTACCTGAGCTGCTGGGACTGGGGCTGTCAAAAGAGCTGCCTGCACCGGAGGTTCAATGTTTTCTTCTTCCTTCTCCTCCTCAGGGCCACCCAGGCTGGCTGTCTCATCACCATCCAGGGCCCCAGCCTCCTCATCTGTACCCAGGACCTCCTGCAGCTCTGTCTGGGGAGATACAGGTCCCAAGAGTTTGGAGCCTCATGATCATACCCATGACAGGACCTGAGAATAAAGGACACTCTCCTCCAGCTGTATTTCCCAGCATCACTCACTGTGCCTGAAAATCCCCTTTACCAGAACACTCCTACACCCTTCCAATCTGATCAGGGACAGCCCCCAAAACAGTGAAGCCTCCGTATCTGAGAATCCCCAAGTACAGAGCTCAGATGTCAGGAGACGTCTCACACCGTACAGACAGGACAAGGGCCCAGGAAAGGCAAGGCACTCGCTCAACATCAGCACACAGAGGGACAAACCCAGGCCTCCTCCACAGCTTGACCACAGAGCCCCCCACACCAGCCTGGCAGACGCACCAGCAAGTCTGCATCCTCCTCCAGCCCTTCCTCCTCTTCTTCTTCTTCCACATCCCGCATGCAGTCCGCCGCCAACTTCTCAATGTGGGCCATAGGCAGAGGGGCTGGGGGAAGGGGGTCACAGAGGGTCAGAGCCGCACGGAAAAGGTTTCCAAGGAGTAGAGGATGGTCTTCAATCCACTGCACTGGCAGATACACCCAGGCAGCTTCCTTCCACAGCCAGAGTCCCACCTCTGCAGGGATACTTTTCCAGGCCCTCCAACAAGCATCAGGCTACTGCCTTCTCAGCCCTTTTACTGTGGCAGTTATTCACAGACATTGCCATCCGTTCCCCCTAACCACACCTTCCATAAATAAAGATTTTTAACCTGTGAGCTTCCCAATGATTCCATAAAATAAGTAATACTGGGAATTCCCTGGCAGTCCAGTGGTTAGAACTCTGTACTTTCACGTCTGAGGACCCAGCCAGGGAACTAAGATCAGATAAGCCACGCAGCACAGGTATCATTCCCCCCACCCCAAAGGTAATATTATCCCCATTTTACATATGAGTAAACTGAGAACTTTATTAATTTTCCTAACATGGCAATCTTGGTAAACAGCAGAGCCAAGATTCAAACCCAGGCTCATCAAACCCAAAGCAGGTTTGCACTGAGAAAGAAGTGATGGCCATGGTTCTCCCAGACCAGTCAGTCCCTTCAGGGTCCTCTCCTTGTCCTCAGCTCAGGGACATGTGGGATGGGAGATGGTTTTCTCTGAGGGTTCCTGGCTCCCTCTGACCTCACCCAACAGGCTTCAGGTCTCTGTCCTCTTCAGGCTGGGGAGGAAGATACCACTTATGCGTTCATTTGATACAATTTCTGTGCACTCATTGTGTGACCAATTCAGTCTGTGCTGAGTCCCTAGCCTATACCAGGCCCAGAGACTCAGACTGTCCAAAGGGAGAGGGTGCAACCCAGGAAGGACTGAGCTCCCCCCACACAACACACAGTAAGTGAGCACAGCAAGATGGCCTCTCGGTGGGAATGCTGCAGATGGGACATGAATACAGAAGGACCAGGTGATCTGGCTGGCTCCCCACAGCTGTGACAAAGGCCCCTCCAACCACCTGCCTGAGCCCACCTGGTCCCCGCACCAAGTGTGGCAAACTCACCCTGCCCCCTGGGCGCTGGCTTCCTGCCTGTGGTCCCTGCTTCCCCGGTGAGAGCCAGCAGCTCAGCCTCCAGGTCCCCATCGTCTTCAGTCTCCTCCACCCCCAGCAGCATGTCCTCAGGGCCGAACTCCACAAAGAGCCCGAGCTGAGAGCAGAGAAGGTTTCTTGAGAACTATACAATGAGGAGAGGGGGAGCCCAGACCCAGAGTCAATCCCCAAGAGCTACGCAGCTCCCTGTAGGGCCCAATGTGCAGAAAGGAAACTAAGGAACCGTTACTCCTTGGGACACTTATCTACCTGGTGACTCTACAAAGAACTCCATAAGATCACACTGCCATTACTGTTACTAACAATAACAGCACCAGCTGCCAGGCAGGGTCCCTGGCAGCCTATGTGACTATCTTAGTTTTCAAAATCCTAAGGTAGATCCTTTTTCCTTTTAAATTGTGGTAAAACACACGTAACATGAAAATTACCACCTTAACCATTTTAAAGTGTAGTGTTCAGTGGCATTAAATACATTCACACTGTTGCATAACTGTTATCACCATCTTGCAAAACTGAAACTCTACACCTATTAAACAACTCCCCATTTCCCCTCCGCCCACCCCAAGGGTAACCACTGCTCTACTCTCTGTCTTTATGAGTTTGACTACACTACCGTGGGTCCTATTTTTATCTCCATGTTCAGATGAAACTGAGACAGCCCTGAGAGTGTGGCAGGGCTAGAATTTAAAATAAGGTCTTAAGGGACTTCCCTGGCAGTTCATTGATTAAGACTCCATGCTTCTACTTCAAGGGGAGTAGGTGTGATCTCTGGTCAGGAAACTATAATAAGATCTCACATGCCACAAGTTGCAGCCAAAAAATTTTTAAAATAAATAAAATAAATGAGGTCTTGTGAGTCGAGTCTATGCCCTTTATCCTACCACCTCCCTTACCTGCCTCTTTTAAGACAGTAACAATACGCTAAGAAGTCTCAAATTTGGGCTCAAAAGAAATAAAGGAAGAAGGTGAGCATGCAGATCCAATCAGAACACCCTAAATTTTGGTGGTTCCTGAACTCTCTGGATCGTTCACATGGAGGTGGCCATTGCAGGAGGAAGCCTGGGTTGAAACACAAGAAAGTTCAGGCCTTAGCTTCCACATGTGTGTGCCAGGGACTGGTTCACAGGGTCTCCATGGGTTCTGCCAGCTCCAGGAGGCATGGCTCAAAGTCGCTAGACTTAACAAGGAAACCACGCAGGTGACCCAGTTTGCCCAAGTTGTCAGAGACCCTCACCCTCAGACTGACTCAGAAATGAAGGTGAAGGAGGTTACATCCATACCTGCTTGGCAGCTGCCACACCCTGGCCACTGGCCGGAGGGCCCTTCCGAGGTCTTGGCCCTGGCATCTTGACAGCCTGGATACCTGTCTAGTGGGGAGTGGAAGAAACTCAGACCGGAGCAGCTTACAAGCCCCGCCCCCAACAGGTGTGGTTAGTAAACTCCCAACTCAGAGAAAGAAGGCAATGCTTAATATGCTTAACATCCAAGGCTGAAATACCTAAGCTGGAAGTAGAGCACTGAAGCAAGCAACACAGAAGATGGAAGGGAGGGGACCACCTAATACCGCTAAGAGGGGAGAGTGGACACAATAAAAAGTCACTGGACTGATTTAATCTGGATTAAACCTAAGAGGTTGAGTGGTGAGTGGCCTAAGAAGGCAGATCAGGGAAGTTAACTCCAGGTTCAGGGAGGGTGTAAGGCTTGGCAGGATTCAGAAAGGCTCTAAAACAGTGCTGGTAAGCATGGCTGCGCTATGTGGCTACTGACGTTTAAATTTAATCCAGTTAAAGCTTCGGTCCTTCAGTTAGTGGCTACCATGGGCCAGCACAAATAATGAACATTTTCATCACTGCAGCAAGTTCTATTGGACAGTTCTGCTCTAGAGAAATCTGACTCGGTATTGATTCTCTCGGAGATCTCACAACCATTTACTGGACCTACTATGTATCAGACCTTGTGCTAGGCACCCGAGGGCAGGAGTGGATGTGACGTGCCCTCAGCTCTCAAAGAACAGTCACAAGGTGGGGAGCCCCTCACCACTGGACAAAACCCAAACAGGGATGTGCCAGGCGCCACGGATGCCCAGGGCCGGCCCTTATCCAGCAGAGAGAGAAAAGGCTTCTTGGAGAAGGTGATGCCTGTGCTGAGTCACGAACATGTTGAGGGGGAGGAAGGGGAATAGGATTCCAAATATAGGGAACAACCTGATAATGGTTCTGAGGTGACAACAGCTTGACTTGCACAGGGCAACTAAACTGGGATTAGTGCGGCATACAGTGTGAGACAAGCGAAACTGAAAATGTTAGCAAGGGGCAAATGAGGAAACTCTGAAGCCTAAGGTAGTTTGGGCACGGTTCTGAAGGCAAAGGACATGAGGGGATGAGGTCGGCGATTCAGAAACATGACCCCTGGCTGCAGAAAGGAAGGACGGACGGAAGGAGGGAGAACGCAGGCTGGACACCGAACACCGTGAATCGGTCCCGGCGAAAAGGGGAAAGGCTGAGGGACCGTGAGGGCGGTGTTGGGGAGGGAGAGAAGTGGACCTAATCCAGAATTAGGGGGTACAACCAGCAGGACTCCGAGATTAACTGACTGTGCGCGCACGGGAAGAGGCGCTCAGAGTGACTCCAAGGCGTCAGATTTCAGTGACTTGGGTGTACGGCGGGTGGACAACTGAACGGGGGACACGAAGTGAGTGGGTCGGCGAGACCCGCCAAGTCTGCGGCTCCGGGGACACCCGGCTGGGAGCAGCGGTGCTGGACCCAGACACAGGCTCTGGAGAGAGGAGGACAGGGAGTGCGCAGGCGAGGCGAAGCCGGCGACCCCACTCCCGCGGCAGGACGCGCCGCCCTGCCCAGCCCTGCCCGGCCGCCTCCATCTCCCCCGCCGTCCCCTCCTCTTCCCTCGCCAGAGAGCGGGTTCGCGGCATACCTCGCGGCAGATCCGAAACCGACCCGGGCCTTCTCCCGCCCGGTACCGCCCAGGCCTCCCGCGGCCCCCGGGCCGCCGAGGCAGCCGTGACAGGAAGCGCCCCCGCGGGAGACGCCTCGCGCTCTAACACGTGACTCCACGGCCGGTGCGGCGCGGATCACGCATGCGCAACGAGAAGCGGGCGTGGCGCTCCAACAGGTGACTCCAAGGGTGGAGTTCTCAGCGCGCAGGCGCCTTCGGGCAGGTAACGCGAAGTTATCTGGGCGGGCCTTTGGGCCGTTCTAGGATGTTCCGCATCTGGAGCAAATGCAGCAGCCTCGCGGTCTGTACTAGCCCATTTACAGGTTTCCCGCCAACCTTCCTCCCTCACTCCCCTTCCCGAGGTTGCCTGGGTGCACGCTCACCTATCTAGCTTCAGGTCCTCGTCCCGCCCCTGTCGGCGCGGAGGGGAGGATGGTGCGGCCACCGCCCTATAGGAGTGATTTCTCTGCCTTACCATCTCTTTCAGTGTCTTTTATAATTTGAGTCTCTAGGGAAAGGGTCTCACAGATTCCTCTTAATCTTGCAGCATCTAAGTTACCTTTTCTAATCAGAAGGCGGGTTTAATCCTTAAGATATGAGAGGCAGTACTCATTGCACCTCTTTATAAAGTCACTTCAGTTTAACACCAAGTTCTTCCTCTCCTACCCTGCAAGTGTGAGGGGGTAGTGTAAGGGGGGATTGGGGGAGAGAAGCTACCTCCTGGAATCTTGCGAATCGTTTCCTCCTGCCTGTCTCCTAAACTTCTGAATTATCTTCCAGTTTCCTTGGACAAAGAGCTTTTCCACCTCCTTTTTGGTGATTTCTCCGAGAAAGAGACTGTCTTTACTATTTTATATTTTTTAAAACTCAGCTTAAAAAAAAAAAAAAAACTTAGCTTTTCTTCTTAGCATACCGTTTGGCATGCAGGATCTTAGTTCCTTGATCAGGGATCCATCCAGTACCGCTGCAGTGGAAGTGGAGTCTTAAGCACTGAACCATCAGGGAATTCCCCATCTTTATTGTTTTAAAATGGGAATTTCAGGGAATTCCTGGCGGTTCAGAGGTTAAGACTACCGGCTCTCACTGCAGAGGGCCCAGGTTTGGTGAGGCAACCAAGATCCCACAAGCCACACGGGGTAGCCAAGAAAAAAAAGTGTTAGAAGTAAATAAAGTGGAAATTTCACTCCTGTATTTCTTTTCATTAAATTTGAATGATAAATATTTAAGACATTCAAAAATGTACATTTAACATTCGCTAGAATGCAAGCTACTTAAAGGCAGTTTTTGTGCTTTAAGTTATCTAGAGCAGTGCATGGTACATAGTAGGCACTCAACGGTTTCTATTTCTTGTGTGAGTTAAATACATGGGCACTTACCTCAAGTTTGAGAAATATAGTTGAAGCCACCTGTCCACCTCTCATGTTGCAACCCTTTCCCAAAGAGATATCCACTCCTGATTTTGGTGTTTATTATTCCTGAGCATTACTATTGCTAGTAGACATATTGTACTATGTATGTGCACATCCTTAAACAGCCGGTAGTATTTTTTTGCTAGCTTTAACATTGTATCATTATCACTGCCTGCACATATTTTTAACTCCTTTTTATACTCAACCTTGGTTTTAAGCTTCATCCATTGATCTTACTTTTCATTTCTGTATGGTGTCTCATAGTATGAAAATAATTCACTTTTCCAATGGCTTGCCATTACAGTGCTATGGATGTTCTTATACATTCCTTGTGTATATGTATGTTTCTCTAGGGTGTATTTCTAGCAGTGGAATTGCTGGCTAATAGGATTTTATAGATTAAAAATTACCAAATCATCTCCAATGCAGTTGTCTTAGTTTACACTTAGATCAATGAGGCATTTGGGTTCTAATTGTTCTATGTTACCATGGAAAGATTTTTTTAATAGATATGAAAGTGTTTTGACTTGCAGGTGTTTCTAATTTGTTGGCCATTCATGTTTCTTACTCTGTGGATGCCTTATTTACCCATTTTCCCTTTTTCTTATTGTAACATACTTTATTCTGATACCCTTAGTCCATTGCATGCGGTTTTAAATATATGCATGTGTATTAGTTGCAGATGTTATATTTCACTCAGTGCCTTATCATGATTCTCCTAAGAACACAGACATTCTTCTACACAACCACAATGATTTGTCACACTCATAAAACTTGACATTTACATAATCCTATTACCTAGTATGACGTATAGTATAGTCCATAATAATGCTTATAACTGTATTAATGTCTTAAATCCATGACCCAAAGTCCTCACATCTGTTTAGCTCTTTAGCTCTTTTTATTAGGTAAATTTTTATTTACCTGATACTTTTTTTTATTGGTAGGTTCACAGCAAACATTTCTGGCAGGACTATGACATGGATGATGTGTTTTCCTCAGTACCTGACATCAGGTTTTTAGATGTCAGTTTGTTCAGTTGTTGGTTTATCAGAATTAACTTGCAAAGTTACACAAAAAACCCTACCAAGATTTTAATCGGAATTTATTTATATTTAGAGATTAATTCTATCTCTTTATTATTAATAGATTTATTCCTAGCTTCCTTAATTTTTTGTGCCATCTAAGTAATTTTTAAAGATTTTTTATGATAGATGGTACCTTTTAAAAAATTCCATTTTTTACTTATTTGTTGCTAGGGATTATTTATTACTGATATTATTTCCAACAGTTCTTTTTTATACACTAAGTATGTTACACCCACATTGTTCAAAAGTTAAAAGAAACATAATGACGTACAGTGAAAGACTTCTTCTAGCCCTGAATGTAGCCATCTCAGAGGCAACCAATATAACTAATTCTTTACTCTCTTGGAACTATTTTTTTTTATAAACAGTATTTATTTATTTGGCTGTGATGGATCTTACATGTAGGATCTAGTTTCTCGACCAGGGATCAAATCCAGGCCCACGGAGTCCTAGCCACTGGACCACCACGGAAGTCCCCTGGAACTATTTTATATAGATACAGTAATTATATTTATATACATGGTATGTTACCATTAAATAAATGGCAGGGCTACTAACAGAAATAAAAGCCAGAGAGAGGGACTACTGTAGGAAGAACGGTGTGTGGTTTTACGATTTGATATTTATAATGACTGTAAAACTTCCCAAACACCCTGGAAAAAGTAAATGATTTAATGGAAAACCCCAAAATACATGACAGCCATTCCATACTTTGCTACAATGATTCCATGTGCTTAGAAAAGGAAATAGGGCTCCTTCAAAACAGATGACAGTCCTTCCTTGTGAAGCCCTTCACTCCTCTTTCAGAGCATACAGCACATCATCCTGGCTGACGTTGAGCCGCACCCGAAGGAGCACGTCATTCCTGCTAGGCTCCACGAGGAGGAGACGGCAGGCACCCAGGCGAGAGCACACCGCCATCGTCTCCGACATGGTGGGGTACGGGAGGCCCTCCATCCTGCACAGTGCCACGTGTTGAATGTATACCTGAAACAAAAAGCAAACCTGAGGTCAGCTAGTCAGAAAGGTAGTCCTGGGTCTGTATCCAATCATTATTTCTTCTTTTGGGAAACTGAGACACTTCTTCTCCAGGATACTCAGGACCCCAGAAAGGAACCAAGGGGTGTCCCACTGCGATGA